ACTTGATATTGTGACCATTGACACCGCAGACATAGATTCTAAACCGAGAACAGATGAAGGACATCTATCCTCGGTATAAAATCAAAATGCAAATGATTTGACACCCCTGATATATTGGTATAAAATATATCTGTTTCTCTTAATACACCATTAAGCTGATATCCATAAACTTGTTAAAAATCATCAAATTACAGCTTAATGCTGCTGTGTTTCGTATGGTGAGTGTAGAGAATCAGAGACCCTTTTTTGATTTGTGATCGAGGATAGATGTAGATGTCTATGGGCCCCAGCAACCACTTACCATCAGTCTGACTGTGCGCTTGTTTGTCACCCTATCCTATTAAAAAATCTTATTTTATTTATTAATAATTTATTACAGCCTATCAAAAGTTCACGCTAATGGTAAAGTGCTGAGCATAGGTCTCATCCGTAGATCACCTTATAGGAGGCATATATCCCAGTTTCTTGGAGGGCGTGTTGGCAACCTTGGTTTTAAATTATTTTGAGTTGTTATTAGAAAGATGCTGCTATCCGTCTTATGTTTCATATCTTTCTGTCGCCTCTTATGACACTATCGAAATGACTAATTTTTGTTTGCAGTCAATATACATGAGCATTTTCAAAATGTTCAACTCAAATCAACGGTTGTTTTGCATTTAACACGTTGTTTTTGATCTGGCTGCAAATTTTACAAGTATTTTTTCGTAGGCCACTAGATCAGCTATTTCCATAAGTTGTCTCTTATGACATCTGATATAGTGGAGCGATGGTTTCTCTTTGCCGCTAATACGTATAGATGATAATACATCATGTTGGTCGTAAGAAAGTTTTTATCTTATAAAGTACTTTTTTTATTCTTAAGTATTTCAAATCCAGCTACAGTCTGAACATGCGAGGAGTCCTAGCCATTTTTTATACTCTTGTCCCGCTCCAAACACAAATTCTATCAAGCAAAAAAAAGTAAAACATTTAATATTTTAATTACTTTATGTTTTTCATGGATTTGTTTTGCGAGAGTTTTTCCACAAGATATTAATTTTTAAGCTTTCTTTCACCAGACGTTTATGACATGGGATTCGCTTTGTTTGAGATTTGCAATATGGAAATATTATTATTTTGTAAACGAATAAAAACAGTAAATGATAGAAACCTCTTTGATGTTTTTGTGGTTTGGATGTTACAGCTGGCAGAAATATAACATCAAACGATTTTTATGAAGTTGTTAACAAAATTTGCTACTTACATCAATGTAAAATCGTTATTAATCAAAGGTCATCAAAAAAATTCATCGTTTAATCTTATATGTATGAGTGCCTTAAGAGATGACTCAAGAATGTTAAATACTCGATATAAATACGTAACGATGATAGTTCCTGTGTTTCGTAAGGTGAGTGTTGAGAACCGGTAACTCTTTTAACTGGTAATGAGGTAGTTATTCTAGCTTAGTCCTCAGGTTCGACAAACTTATATTTTATTTTTATCATCGAGCCGAATCCAGCCGAGTTGAATTCGTCGATTGACCTCTCGGTCGAAGTTGGACTTACCTAGTCGGAATATTTGTCCCAGGTAAACGTACTCGTCAACAACTTCGAGCATAGTGCTCCCAACTCTACCTCTACTCTACTCCCAACAACTACCGGCATAGGTATGACATGGACATTAAACATGATCTTTGTTTTGTCCAAGTTCATCTTAAGACCTATCCGTTGGGAGACACTATTGAGGTCATTGAGCATAGTGCTTAAGTCCTCCAGCGATTCTGCCATAAGGACTATATCGTCGGCAAATCGAAGGTGAGTGTTTTACTCGCCATTGATGTTAATACCGTATCCTTTCCAGTCCAGTAGCTTGAAAACGTCTTCCAATGCAGCGGTGCAGAGTTTTAGATATATAACGTCACCCTGTCTTACACCTCTCTGCAGTTGGATAGGTTTCGAGCTCTGGTTCTGTACTCGGATAGCCATCGTAAATAGCAAGCGCCAATAGCAAGCGAATATTTATAAGTCACTTATAATTTTAAATTGAAGGGCTAACATAGGTATATTGTCAAAAGTTATCCTCATCTGGGATGCTAATTATAGCTTTTAAACTTATATTCCGGACATTTTTGAAGTGAAACTTCGAATCGTTATGACATAAAACTCGATGAAATGAAAAAGCGACACTAAAAAAGAGACAAACATATACATCTATAGGATTTAGCGATGCGAGAGAATGATATATTATGTGACATTTTACAATTGCAAAGAGGCCGTTTTCATTTTCCTATAACACGGAAGATCATTTGATTTCAATACATGGACGTTGTTTAGATTACCTGTATCTTCCTTTGCAATTTCTGAATTATTCCGTAAATTGTATACTAAAAACTTGTCATTACATAAAATGGCATATGAAAATACCAGTGTACGGTTGGCATTAAAAAAAAAGGAATAAGAACTTAGGGAAAATATCACTCAGCAATTCGAGGAATTTATGTGTCTGTTAACAAACACAGATGGCATCAAAGATTTTCAATATCCTGATCCAATCGCAGTTATTGTTAACAGCTGAAGAATATTTGAATGTTTCAGATGGCGCGGGAAATTGTTATATGAGTACTTTTACATATAAAAATAAAAATGCAGGTTTAGATTGGAATTATTCACTTGATTTCACATAATTTTGTAGCTTTCTCCAGTGAAATTTTAAATTCCTGAGTAACTAAGAGCGTATTTCTGACTCGTTTATAATAAATAATGTAATGCTAGATAAAAGCGCTAACTTACCTTTAGTCATCATAACACGGGGTAGGGCCACACTCTTACAAAATACTGACGTAAAATAGCAGCTCAATGATGCTGTGTTTTGTATGTTGAATGAAGAGAACCGTAGACCCTTTTTACTGGAAACGAGGCATTCCATCTTAGTCCTCAGGGGCGACAACGCATCGGCATTTTGATCCTTAATCGAGGTTAAATGGTGATGTTTATGGCATTCATTTATCATTAGGTGGATTATGTGGTCGCTTTTCACCCTTATTCTATATATACAAAACACTGTCAATGGTCAAGGTACAGATGAATAATTTTAGTAAATAAATTCGCCTCCCTTAAATTCGTTTTTAATTTTATTTTAATAAAATGAATTTATAAATACTATACTACAAATATAACAACACTCGTAAATTTATTTATTTCTTTTATTGTATTAAATAAAAATAAAATAAAATATCTTTATTTCAGACATAACATCCATAATGGTTAGTAGGTACACAAAAGTTATAACTATGTTAGTAATATTTAGGAATAATTAGTGTAAGTACAAAAAACAAAGTTTGGGTGTAAGGGGCTCCGCTAAGATCTTGGAGCCCAAGCCAACCCCGCCTGCACGTGGCGCACCTGCTGGACAACGTAAAGGGTTCTGGCGATGCCACTCCTCTGGGATTCGTCCTAGGGGTTCGGGGGTCAGACGGCAGTCGCCCCGGTAATTGGCACTAAGCCACTCAAAAATGGAGAGTAAAATAAAGAGATATACGGTTAGGACTAAGGCGTCGCTGCATAACGACGCGCGTGGGGATCGCCTTAACCTACCGGGCCCCGTGCGAGCCCGGCTAAAGACGTTAGCACCAACTACGAAGATTCGCTTTGCAAACTGGAACATTGGCACGCTTACGGGACGCTCCACAGAACTAGCGGCCATACTTGCCAGGCGTAAAGTGGCAGTGGCGTTCCTGCAGTAGACGCGGTGGAAGGCCAACAGGAGCCGGTATATTTGGCATGGCTACAAGCTGATCTATACAGGCTCTTCTGGTGGGGAGAACAGTGTGGCGGTGGTGCTCGCCGAGCATTTCCACGATAGCGTCTTGAAAGTTAGACGCATATGCGACCGACTAATGGTAGTAAGGTTGCTTATTGAGGGGGTCGTGACCCACTTAATAAGTGCCTATGCCCCACAGGTCGGCTGCAGCGACGTGGATAATATTATGCGGCATACCGTTGTCCCACGATGTCGTTTTGGGTGGCGACCTGAACTGTCATGTGCGCGAGGTGCAGGGGGGAGTATGAACGTGTCCACGGCGGCTATGGTTACGGCCGAAGAAATTCAGAGGGAGAAACCATTCTCGGAACTTGTACTGCAGCTGACCTAGCCGTGGTGTACACGTTCTTCAAAAAGAAAACCGAGCACCTGATTACATAGAGGAGCGGTCGGAACGCCACTAAAATCGACTATCTACTGACCAGGAGAAGTCATATCAGTCGCGTGGCCAACTGTGAGGTCATACCCGGTGAGTGTCTCACTGCCCAACACCGACTTTTTGTCATGGACCTCTGCGTGAAACCCCGTCGCAGATACGCCGAACGTTGTCGCCGTCAAATCAAGTGGTGGCTGCTGGGTCAAAACAGATACTCAGAGTTTGACTCTGCCGCTGGGGATATTAGTCTCGACACAGCAGACAAGTCCGTCGAAGAGTGCTGGAAAACCATTCAGACAGCAATCACAAAGACGACAAAGCAAGTCCTCGGCGTGGCGAAAGGGGGGTCGCAAAATCGACAAGGAGACCAAGGAAGGAGAGGTGTTGGGACGCTACAGTCCAGGGTTGATTACGGGAGAAGAAAGTGCTCTTCAAGTCGTAGCAAGTGACCAAATCTCCTGAAGATCGCGCATCTTACAAGACAGCGAAAAGAGCTGCCAAGAAAGCTGTAGCCAGAGTCAGGCGTGATCACTTGCAACCATTATATGCTAAGTTGGACACTCCTGAGGGGCACAAGCTCATATATAAACTGGCGCTCTCTAGGGCCAAAGCAACGCAAGATATTACTCGCTACTGTAGCGTCAACGGCCCTAATGGCGAGCATCCTGTACGATGGGTGGATAGTGCGGTGAAGGAGAGATGGCGCTCTTATTTACACGTTTTGCTGAATACTCAGCACCGGGAAGTGCACCCTCCCGAACAACTCCTGAACCATGGACTCGTGCCACCGATTACGCCTGACGAGGTCCTCGCATCTCTTTGTCACATGGAGATTCAGAAAGCTGTCGGACCGGACGAGGTGCCAATTGAAGCGTGGAAAGCGCTGGGGACTCGCGGTGTGTGCATTCTTACTAACCATTATAATGGAATCCTGAGCAAACGAATAAAGCCCGATCAGTGGCGGCTTAGTATAATAACGTCGGTCTACAAGGGTAGAGGGTCCGTTCACGATTGCGGTAATTACCGCGGCATAAAGGTGACGTCACACACCATGAAACCCTTCGAGCGCATTATTGACACCAGTATCCGACAGGAGTGTACACTATCGGACTCCCAGTACGGTTTCCAACCAGGTCGCGTTACCATGGACCCTATATTCGCCCTAAGGATCCCCATGGAGAAGTATAGGGAAAAGAATATGCCTCTGCATTTTTTATTCCTAGACCTGCAGAACGCCTTTGACTGTGTTCCTAGGGAGATGATCTGGTGGGCGTAGCGGTCGAAGTTGGTACCTGAGACCTACGTGGAAATCGTACGTGACATGTACCGCAACTCCGATTCAATAGTCAGGACCGCTGTTGGTGATACCTCCTCCTTCCCCATAACCTTAGGCGAGCATCAGGGCTCCGTCTTAAGCCCCTATCTCTTCAGTGTGATATTAGACGAACTGTCACCCTGCGTACAGAAACTACCGCAGCCTTGGCTGCTTATGTACGCTGATGATATCGCACTGGTAGATGGGGACAAAGGACGGCTCACCATACGCGTGCACGCATGGAGGGAGGTGCTTGAGAACGGCGGGCTGAAGCTAAACGTGGCGAAGACAGAGTATATGACCTGCAACAGCACAGATCTGACGTCTCTCCGTATTGGCGACGACACTGTCGAGCGCACGGACAACTTCAGGTACCTCGGACCTGTGCTCGATGCGTCCGGGGGACATCGATCGCGATATCAAGGCCCGTATATCAGCGGCCTGAGCGAAATGGCGCGAGGTGATGGGTGTCATTTGTGACCCTAAAATACCGATCATACTGAAGGGTCAGGTCTATAAGACCATCATAAGGCCTGTCCTTACGTACGGCAGTGAGGTGTGGCCGGTGCTGGAGCTACACCGGCAGTTGTCGAATGTGAAGGAGATGAACATGCTGCGGTGGATGGGTGGCGTCACGCGGTAAAGACCATGTACGGAATACATACATCCGCGGCAGTGTCTATGTCCGTGACATTGCTGACAAGCTGAAGGAAAATCGCCTCCTCTAGTACGGCCACGTCTTACGACGACCGGCAAGCTACATGCATACCAGGAGTAGAGGACGGCCCAAGAAACGCTTGACGCTTGGCTTGATGTCGTGCAGGATGACATGCGCACCGATGGGCTAGTTGCAAGGGACGCCGAAGACCGGGCAAAGTGGAGGAGGAAGTGTAGGAAAGCGAACCTTGGGTTCTCCCGCGTTGGGCGGGATGAGCAACCGAGATAAACGCTAGGTAGAAGAAGAAGAAGAAGAAGTGTAAGTACAAACCAGGCTTGTCTGAGGCACTAAGTTTATGCACATGCATAGTCACGCAGTGTCTCATTACAGGACAATCTGGTTTGTCACTATGTGAGCTACCACGTATTCTGCGCATGAGCGAAGCGACCTGTTTGCGCAACACCGTCTCGAAGCTATCCGTGTGCGCATCAAACATGCCCCATGCGCTGCAGAATCGCGGCGGACTCAACATCACCCTGAAGGCATTGTTATACTGTACTTAAAGTGCGCTGAACGCCCCCTGCGTATAATCAACCAACAGATTACACGTGTACATTGTTTGGCAGAAGGCTTTAAACAAAGTTATTTTAACTTCTGCGGTACATAGTGAAAATCTGCGGGCTAACACATTGCAGCGGACTGTCAACGAACAACAACGATCAATAAAATTAAATAATATTCCATTCGATTGTTATTTAAGTGTCATTGAAACTGGGTATTAAGTAATACATGTTAGATTTCTTTATAAAATTTCTTTCAATTAAATTTTTTTAGCTTATTTTTTACCTGGCGTGAGCCAGCACTGAAGTACTATTTCACCTGATGTGATCTGATGATGTGCCCGAAGATTGTATTCACTTGACTTAGCGTTATGCACCTTTTTGAATTAATGTTGCTTTAATTACAGAAGTTGATTACATATATTATATTGTTTAGTTTTTCCGTATTGGTCTGGTACTCATTTTATATGAGACATTATTACATTTATATAACAAAAAAAGGATATGACAACAGTAATATTAATAATATTACTATTAATAGAATATTGAGTTTGGTTTAGTAGGTCATGGGCTAGTCACCTATCAATTCCTTTAACCAAATTTATATCTAAACCTATATTTTTGGGTATACGAGTTCGAATAGCTTGATGCTCTTTGGGTTCTGCCTACACATTTGAAGATTAAATTGTTATTTTTTTGTTTAAGAAAACTAATTTGTTTCTAAAAAGATTCAATTCAATTGACGATTCCGTGGCGAAGTGGCTTAGCTATGAGAGGCTGCGCTGGGGTCGTGGGTTCGAATCCCGCACGGATCAAGTATTTGTATGGCCTACAAATAATTGTTCCAGGTCTGGATGTTTTTCCTTGTGCAATTTATGTTTGTAAACTGCCCCCACGGTACAGGAGAAAATCCTAGTGTAGGGGTAACGTCTTTTAAAAAAAATAAATTAAATTAAATTAATTGAATAAAAGTCAAAACGCTCAAACAAAATGACAAAGTAAATATCACTCGTTACATAGAGAACAGAGAGACGAGCGCGTGCAGCGCACCCGTGTCTAGACACCAGTCGCCTTACAAGCAAGCCGGAAAGGGTGGACTGTAAGCGATAGTTGATTACTAGGGATCATTTAATAATATAAATGTTCGTTATTGTCAATGTAGCTACAGTAGATATCCTTGTAGTGGTGATAAGAATATCCATCCGTACATTTCATTTCGTGGGTATCGTAAGAGGTGACTGTGGATAGCCTCAGAATGATCTTATATCTGTCCGATATATGGCGGTATAACTATCTAACAGACGTAAATTACTGCATAATCTTGAATGACTTTGTGTATTTTACAGCACCCAACCGCTTTTGACGAAATGCATGTTCCCAGTCACGAGTCAGTTGGCATGTTTAAACTAAAAATATCCAACAGATACCACACGGCATTAAACTCCCTCATAGTACCTCTGAGTTGAAACTAAAACCTGAGCACCAAGCGTGCAGCGAAGCGGCGTTAATCCTTATTTTAGCATATGGCCTAAGTCAAAAGTGTTAAATGGAGCGTGTAACGTAAGCGACACAAACGCCATACAATTTAAATTGACGCCACTAACGAAACTGTAACGATTTACGTACAGAGTTCGATTTTCCATTTGCTATACATTTGGAGCGGTCGCAACGGACGCAGTAGAAGGGTGTGCCAAACGCTTTACTCTGACGCTATCGCTGTTTCCAAATAGCAACATGGGCTTTCTGAACGTAAATTTTATTTCTTAATCCACAGAAATATTTCTTACAAGAATTTATCTATTATTTTCACTTACTTTTACGTGGTAGAGCTACGCTGCAGCTATATTATGCAAACATAACAAATGACATTTGTCAAGGTAAACGAACCATGTCGATTTTGTAAAGAGTCGTGGCACTGCTACGATAGGTTGTCGATAAATGTGAAATATTGAGCCATTGGTATTTGCACTGCAGCTACGAGCTACGCTTGCGATATGGTGAGTGTTGTGGGCAATAGGGACTTTACTTTTAGTACCCGGTTGACCGAGCTTTGCTCGGTATTTTTCGCTCGTTTTTTTTTAATTTGTGTGTTTTGGAAATTATATTTTAATACAAATTACATACAGATGAAATACGAATAATATTTTTTGATCTTAGAGACATAATAGAAAAACTGAACTGGTTATTTGAATAAAAAATCATAAGTGCAATTAGTTTAATTTAAATTTTCTTGTTTTTAAAAAAATACTAAAAAAAGGGCTCGAAAAAATAGATTTTCTCAAAAAAAGAAAGGAACTTGAAAAAAAAAATTAAAAAAAGTCGGTCGGTCGGTCTGGGCTCGAACCATGGTATTACGATTTTGTAACCGCCCAATATAACAATTAAGCTATTTGTAATCATTAATAAATTGTCAAAATTTACCTTCCTATTCTAACTATATTGTAGCAGTTTTTCATTGCCTAAAAACACGGACAAAAAGAGATTTTCTAAAAATAAATCCTAGCTAGATCGATTTATTGCCCCCGAAACTCCCTGGACACTAAATTTTATGAAAATCGTTGGAGCCGTTTCGTTTGGGTCGGCTTGACCGGGGAAGGCCCATGCTCTCACAGAATACCAGCGTAAAATAGCAGCTTAATACTGATGTTTTTTTTTATAGAAGAAGGGGCAAACGAGCATACGGCTCACCTGATGTTAAGTGACTACCACCACCCATGATCAACCGCAACACCAGAAGAATTGCGGGTACGTTGCCGGCCCTTTGGAAAGGAGTAAGCTCTTTTCTTGAAGGTCCCCAGGACGTATCGGTCCGGAAAAATCGCCGGTGGTAAACTATTCCACAGAGAGGTTGTACATGGAAGAAAACTCCTTGTGAAACGTACAGTGGTGGACCGCCAAGCATCCAGATGGTGTGGATGGTATCGGGACGTTTGACGTGTAGTGCGTTCACGAAATTTGGCGGCTGGGATTAATCCGAACAATTCCTCAGAGCACTCCCCGTGATAGATGCGATAAAATACGCAAAGAGATTCAACATCTCTTCGCAGCGCCAGTGAATCGAGCCGATCGGAAAGCACTCGGTCGTCGACGATTCGAGCCGCTATGCGCTGGATGCGGTCAAGTGGAAGAAGCTGGTACTGGGAGCCCCAGCCCAGAGATGGGAACAGTATTCCATGTGCGGCCGAACCTGTGCCTTCTAAAGTTGCAGGCGGTGTGCCGGCATGAAATATTGTCCCGCTCTGCTGAGCACGCCAAGCTTTTTTAGAGGCCAATTTGGCCTTCCCTTCCAAGTGACCACGAAACTGCACGTCACTCGATATGTCGACGCCGAGGATTCCGATACATGCTGAGGCAACAAGGGGAGTGCCTTGAAACTGAGGGGATACGACAAAGGGGTTCTTTTTTAGCGGTTAACGCGCAAACTTGTGTCTTCTGGGGGTTAAACTGGACTAGATTTAGTCGCCCCCAATTCGAGACTCTGTCCAGCAGAGACTCGACTTCAGACACAAGTTTGTCCCGGCACTCGGAGACGTTTTCCCGAGAAATATTGGCTCGGCCGGTGTAAAGAGCATCACCAGTGCTGTCATCTGCATAGCAATGAATGTTACGAGTATGCAACATGTCATTGATATGCAGAAGAAACAGCGTTGGCGATAGTACGCAGCCCTGTGGAACACCAGCATTAATAGGCTTGCAATCGGAGCTTGCACCATCTACAACGACCTTGATGCTCCGATCTGCAAGAAAGCTGGTGATCCAATCGCAAAATTTCTCGGGAAGCCCATAGGAAGGGAGCTTCGAAAGAAGCGCTTTGTGCCAAACCCGATCGAAGGCCTTCGCAATGTCCAAACTAACGGCCAATGCCTCCCCCTTGAACTCTACTGCCTCCGCCCATCTGTGAGTTAGGTAGACCAGAAGATCACCAGCTGACCGACCATGGCGAAAACGGTATTGGCGGTCACTAATCAGCTGGTGATCTTCAAGGTATCTCATGAGCTGGCAGTTTACAATGGACTCCATTGTTTTGGAGAACAAGGAGGTGATGGCGATTGGCCGGTAGTTGGACGGGTCAGAGCTGTCGCCTTTTTTAGGGATCGGGTGGACGTAAGCCGTCTTCCATGATTTTGGGACTACGCCTAGGGAGTAGGAGTACCGGAAAAGACGCGTTAAAACCGGTGCCAACTCTGGAGCACACGTCCTCAGCATAATTGGGGGGATTCCGTCAGGCCCACTCGACTTGTGGATGTCCAGGGAGAGGAGTG